TCCTCTTTCATTCATGATTTTATTTATTTGGGTCCCTTCTCTTTTCTTTTTGGTAAGTCTGGCCAGGGGTTTATCAATCTTATTAATTCTTTCAACGAACCAGCTCCGAGTTTCGTTGATCTGTTCTACTGTTCTTTTGGTTTCTTTTTCATTGATTTCTGCACTGATGTTTATTATTTCTCTTCTTCTGCCGGTTTTAGGCTTTATTTGCTGTTCTTTCTCCAGCTCCTTCAGGTGTAGGGTTAGGTTGTGTATTTGAGACCTTTCTTGTTTCTTGAGAAAGGCTTGTATTGCTTATATACTTCCCTCTTAGGACTGCCTTTGCTGCCTCCCAAAGATTTTGAACATTTCATTTGTTTCCATGAATTTTTTAAATTCTTTAATTTCCTGGTTGACCCATTCATTCTTTAGTAAGATGCTCTTTAGCCTCCATGTATTTGAGTTCTTTCCAACTTTCCTCTTGTGATTGAGTTATAGTTTCAAAGCATCGTGGTCCGAAAATATGCTGGGAATGATCCCAATCTTTTGGTACTGGTTTAGACCTGATTTGTGATCCAGGATGTGATCTATTCTGGAGAATGTTCCATGGGCACTAGAGAAGAATGTGTATTCTGTTGCTTTGGGATGGAAGGTTCTGAATATATCTGTGAAGTCCATCTGGTCCAATGTGTCATTTAAAGCCTTTATTTCCCTGTTGATCCTTTGCTTAGATGATCTGTCCACTTCAGTGAGGGGGGTGTTAAAGTCCTCCACTACTATTGTATTATTGTCAATGTGTTTTTTGATTTTGTTATTAATTGGGTTATATAATTGGATGTTCTCATGTTAGGGGCGTAGATATTTACAATTGTTAGATCTTTTTGTTGGATAGACCCTTTAAGTAGGATATAGTGTCCTTCCTCATCTCTTATTATAGTCTTTGCTTTAATATCTAATTGTCTGATATAAGGATTGTCACTCCAGCTTTCTTTTGATGTCCACTGGCATGGCAAATTGTTTTTCCACCCCCTCACTCTAAGTCTGTAGTCTAAAATGAGTCTCTTGCAGACAGCATATCGATGGGTCTTTTTTTTTATCCAATCTGATACCCTGTGTCTTTTGATAGGGCCATTTAGCCCAATTACCTTCAGGGTAACTACTGAAAGATATGAATTTAGTGCCATCGTATTGCCTGTAAAGTGACTGTTACTGTATATTGTCTCTGTTTCTTTCTGGTCTATGTTACTTTTAGGGTCTCTCTTTGCTTAGAGGACCCCTTTCAATATTTCTTGTAGGGCTGGTTTGGTGTTTGCAAATTCTTTTAGTTTTTGTTTGTCCTGGAAGCTTTTTATCTCTCCTTCTATTTTCAATGACAGCCTACCTGGATATAGTATTTTTGGCTGCATATTTTTCTCCTTTAGTGCCCTGAATATATCATGTCAGTCCTTTCTGGCCTGCCATGTCCCTGTGGATAGGTCTGCTGCCAATCTAATGTTTCTACCATTGTAGGTTACAGACCTCTTGTTCCGAGCTGCTTTCAGGATTTTCTCTTTGTCTCTGAGACTTGTGAGTTTTACTATTAGATGTCGGGGTGTTGACCTATTTTTATTGATTTTGAGAGGGGTTCCTTGTGCCTCCTGGTTTTGATGCCTGTTTCCTTCCTCAAATTAGGGAAGTTCTCTGCTATAATTTGCTCTAGTATACCTTCTGCCTCCCTCTCTCTTTCTTCTTCTTCTTCTGGGATCCCAATTATTCTAATATTGTTTCATCTTATAGTATCACTTATCTCTTGAATTCTCCCCTCAGGATCCAGTAGTTGTTTATATCTCTTTCTCAGCTTCTTTATTCTCCATCATATATATAGTGATCTTCTATATCACTAATTCTCTCTTCTGCCTCATTTATCCTAGCAGTTAGAGCCTCCATTTTTTATTGCACCTCATTAATAGCCTTTTTGATTTCGACTTGGTTAGATTTTAGTTCTTTTATTTCTCCAGAAAGGGATTCTTTAGTATCTTGTGCTTTTTTTTCAAGCCCAGCTAGTATCTTTATAATCGTCATTCTGAACTCTAGTTCCAACATCATAGTAATGTCTGTATTGATTAGGTCCCTGGCAGTTGGTACTGCCTCTCATTTTTTTTTTTTTGAGATGAGTTGTTCTGTTTTGTCATTTTGTCCAGAGAAGAATGGATGAATGAGAGAACAAAATGCTAATAAAGGAACAACGACCCCAGAAAAATATACACTAAACAAATCAGAAGAGACCCAAAACTGGGGGGAAAAAGGAAAAAGAAAAAAGAATATGATTAGGCTGGTGAATAGAACAGAACCACACACTAGATTTTGGGTCTATTTCGGTCTGTTAGAAGAAACTGCCTCCAAAAATTTTAAAGAAAGAAAAACTTATATATGTACAAAAATAAGGGTAAATAGAAGGAAGGGATGGAATATGACTGTAAAGATGAAAATTAAAAAAGATTTTAAAAAAGGAATTGATAAGAAGCTGGTTGAAAAAAGAAGAAAAAAATTTTTTTTAAAAAGGAGAGAAAGTGATCAGGCAGGAGACTAGAACAAAGCCATACACTAGATTTAGGGTATATTTTGGCTGTTAGGAGAAACTGTGTTCCAAAATTTTAAAGAAAGAAAAACTTGTATATACACAAAAGATAAGGTTAAATACAATGAAGGGATAGAATATGACTGTAAAAATGAAAATTAATAAAGACTTTAAAAGAGGAATTGATAAGATGTTGGTTGAAAAAGGAAAGAAGAAAATTTCAATAAAAAAGAAATAGAAAAAGAAAAAATAATGAAAATTAAGAAAATTAATTTTGAAAGACTAAAGAATCATGGGAAAAAGCCATGAATTCTATGTGCTGTATCCCCATAGCGCTGGAGTTTTGCAGTTCTCATTGATTGGTAAACTTGGTCTTGGCTGGATGTTCTTGCTGATCTTCCGGGGGAGGGGCCTGTCACAGTGATTCTCAGATGTCTTTGCCTGAGGCGGAATTGCACCGTCCTTGCCAGGGGCCAGGCTAAGTAATCTGTTCGGGTTTGCTCTCAGTAGTTTTGTTCCCTGAAAGCTTTCCCTACAGCTTTAGGGGACAAGAATGAAAATGGCAGCCTCCCAATCTCTGGCCCCAGAGGAGCTGAGTGCTTGGGGCCCCACTTCTCAGTGAGCCCTCAGAGAAAAGAAGTCAATCACTCCTGTCTCCCAGGCTGCACTCCGTGCTCACGAGGCCTGTGACTGAGTGTTTCTATCTCTGGCACATGACCCCGTTTGGAGTCTCCAAACCCAGCAGATTCCTGTGGTGCACTCCCGTGCTGCTCCTTCCAGGGGAGGAAGGGGAGTCTCCCTGGATCTGCTGCTTGTTGGGTCCCTGCTCAAAGAGTAGTGGCCTGAGTGTGCCGTGGATCACAGTTTATGGCAACCCAAAGCTGAGAGCCCACTCCTTGGCTCCGTCTCTGCAGCTGGATTCCCCGCTCTGATACCTGGGAGCTCTGCCACACTCAGGCACCCCTGGTCTTTCTGTGACCTCTCAGGGTCCTGAGACCACACTGTCCCAGCGAGTGTTCCACCCCCTGTTTAGCCACTGGAGTGACGTCCCTCAGCAGAGCAGACTTCTAAAAGTTCCAATTTTGTGCTCTGCTGCTCTATCACTTGCCAGTAGCAGCTGATGGAGGCAGCCTCTCCCCCGCAATCTATCTTCCCAAATATCGCCTCAGATTCAATTCTCTGCATGTCCTACCTTCCAGAAAGTGGTTGCTTTTCTATTCATAGAATTGCTGCTATTCTTTTCTTTGATCTCCTCTTGAGTTTGTAGGTGTTCAGAATGGTTTGATAACTATCTAGCTGAATTCCTGGGACCCTACAAAATTTAGGTCTCCTACTTCTCCGCCATCCTGCTCCTCCTGTGCTTACTCTTCTACAACTCTCAAATTTTCTATAATGATCAAGCATTATCTTAGTATTTACTTTGTACATAATTACACATGACTCAGAGCTCCCTTTGCTAGCAACATCTACCTTGAGCAAAGTTATATTGCATCAGGAACATCAGCTGGTTATTGTCTAGGGCATATCTTTGGAATTTGAGTTTAAAGTTAATTTCTTCATCTTTGCCACTGTGTAAAAGGTGGTCAGACAGAAGTAGTGGGCAGCAGAATTATGGTTTAGGGTAATTATTGTTAATACAATACTTTTTTCCCCCTTCTTTATGTTTGGCTGTTAGGGAAAAATGATCACTAATCACTGATTTTGTACTATTGGCCTCAGGAGAGAGCCTCAAATCCCAAAATGTTAAATAAAACATTTATATTTGCTTCTATTTGCATCTCACTACGCAATGGCTTTTTGTGGTATGAAGTAAGTGTTATGGAGTCTGGGGCTCCTGTGAAAACATGGGGCATCTGCTTGAATGCCAGGGAACCCCTGTTGTTCTTCTTGGGTAGTTTTCCTGAGATGGAATTCATATGTGTTACAATTCACCCATTTAAAGCACACATTCTATAGTTCTTAGTATGTTTAATTGTGCAACCATCACCCCCAATCAATTTAAGAACATTTTTACCACCCCAAAAAGAAATGCCATATCCTTTAGGCATCACCCCCAATCCTTCCTTCCTCCTTAGCCTCTGGCAACCACTAATCTACATTTTATCTTTGAAGACGTGCCTGCTCTGAACATTTCATGTAAGTGGACTCAAAACAGACCCTTGTTCTTAATCCAGTAATTTATAGAAGATTTGGGTATTTCACAGAGCTATATAGACTTTTTTTCTTTTTTAGAGAGAGAGCATGTGCACACATATATACATGCAAGTAGAGGTGGGGAGTGGGGACAGAGGGAAAAGAAGAGAGAGAATCTTATGCAGGCTCTGCACCCAGCAAGAGCCCAAGGCAGGGCTTGATCTCACAACCCTGAGATCATGACCTGAGCTGAAATAAAGAGTCCGATGCTCAACTGACTGAGCCACCCAGGTGCCCTGAGCTATATAGATTTCCCATTAAAAAAACTTACATGTGTTGGTATTTTCAGTCTCCCACCAACTAATAACGGGTGAAAGTTACTGTATGTCAGCTGTCTGTTATCCGTCCATTTGTTTACCCTTTCATAGGCAGTCCAGCGCAAACCAATCCATAAAGTAGCCTCCATATCCGGAAGCAAGGATGTAATAAAATCTGTCAGAAAGAGATTTTTTTTTAAGCATTTGACTTATTCAAATTAAAGGTACACTAAAACTGTCAATGAATACCTCTTGCTTACCAACAAAGATACTCTTTTACCTATTCTGTAACAAAGTAGTTTAATAAGATTTTTTAAATATGCTAATTCCCCAAAGCCTCTCAGAACTAACTTGGTCCCCAGATCAGAATAATACATGTTTCCAAAACAATTCCGTTACCTTGTTCTCTCTGGCTTAGCACTGAAGGAAGGGTGCCACCATATGTGCGACAAGTATCACTCGCTTGGGAAAATGTGAGAGACTTTGGTTTGATTTTTAGGAAACACTGCAAACAAAAAACATCTATGAAGCATAAGATTCCAGACACAGGAAAGCTCACATAGGAAGTAAACACCTCATCTTTTAGAGGGCTGCTAATTTTTGGTCTGTGAAATATGGAAATTAGCAAAGTAGTACTATACAAATGCAGATCTACACTCTCAATATAAACAACTAAAGAGTGGTCTATTAGTCAAACTATTTTTTAAAAAAATCTCCCATTTACGGCTTCCTATGTGCTAAACAGTTTGCATAATACTATCTCATTTAATTCTCACAACAAATGGGGAAACCGAGGCACAGGGCAGTTGAGTAACTTCACCTATAAGTGAAATAGCCAGGCTGTGGTATTGTCAGCACTTAGATTCTGTTCCATCTGACTCCAAAGGCTGCCCTTGTAATCATCACCTCCTTATATAAAAACACACATTAAAAAAAAAAATCATCCCCCCCTTTTTTTGTTATGTTCAATTAGCCAGCATATAATACTTCATTAGTTTTCGATGTAGTGTTCAACGATTCATTAGTTGCATATGACACCCATTGCTCATCACCATATGTGCTCTCCTTAATACCCAACACCCAGTTACTCCATCCCCCCACCCTCATCCCCCTTTCTTTGGGTAGGATATTTTAATTCAAATTTACATCAACTATGTAAATTAATTTAGTCCCAGTATCTTTGGAGGGAAAAAAAGATTGTTCTAATTTTATTTTTTAATTTTTTAATAATATTTGTATTTTTTTTTTAAGACTTTATTTATTTGACAGAGAGACACAGCGAGAGAGGGAACACAAGCAGGGGGAATGGCAGCTAGAGGGAGAAGCAGGCTTCCCGCGGAGCAGGGAGACTGATGCGGGACTCGATCCCAGGACCCTGGGATCATGACCTGAGCTGAAGGCAGACACTTAACGACTGAGCCACCCAGGTGCCCCAAATTGTTCTAATTTTAAAAAGCCAAAATATGTCCTTACTATTTTAGCTTCAGTGCAGATGCTTTCAGTTGTCAGACACATATCTTCCTTTTTCTTTTTGATATGATCATATTAGTGTGGATTGATACACCCTAAATAGTGTTCTTTGAACAATTCTACAAAATGCTTTTTTTTTCAGCCTCCTTAGAGACTGGAGTGGCCAATGAGCTATATGTCATTGGGTAGCTTCTAGAAAAGACCCTAGACAGAACACCCTGAACTTGAGCTTGGAAGCTTTATTATGTTAAAGATGACAGAGCAAAAAGAATAAAGGAGCCTGGATTTGAAGATGTGGTGGAGCTTCCATACCAGCCCCAGCCCACTTACCATCAAACGTCTTTTGTGTGAGATAATAGATATTTTAACATAGGATAGCAATCTCTTACTTAGCAGCCAAATGCATTTCCAAAGAGATAAATATACCAATATGGATTATGCATTTCAAAGACGCAGATACAGAATGTAGCATTTCCCAAACCTATTTAATCATTAAAGACCCTTGAAGGCAAGATCAATGATTAACATTTTGTTAGCATATGTGTAGTGTAGAGCCCCCAAAATAGGTTGGGAAATGCTGGTCTAATTTTTTTTTTCCAATTCACAGCACTCACTATAGCACACACCCTCCCCAATGTCCATCACCAGCCACCCCATCCCTCCCACTCCCCTCCACTCCAGCAACCCTCAGTTTGTTTCCTGAGATTAAGAGTCTCTTATAGTTTGTCTCCCTCTCTGGTTTCATCTTGTTTCATTTTTCCCTCCCTTCCCCTATAATCCTCTGCCTTGTATGTCAAATTCCACATATTAGTGAGATCATATGATACATGTATTTCTCTGATTGACTTATTTTGCTTAGCATAATACCCCCTAGTTCCATCCACTTCATTGCAAATGGCAAGATTTAATTTTTTTGATGGCTGCATAATATTCCATTGTACATATTTACTACATCTTCTTTATCCATTCATCTGTTGATGGACATCTAGGCTCTTTCCATAGTTTGGCTATTGTGGACATTGCTGCTATAAACATTGGGGTGCATGTACCCCTTCGGACCACTACATTTGTATCTTTGGGGTAAAATGGATGAAAGACCTAAATGTGAGACAGGAATCCATCAAAATCCTTGAGGAGAACACAGGGAGCAACCTCTTTGACCTCAGCCGCAGCAATGTTGGTCTAATTTAATTGGTAGATGCTGCCTGAATGCTTTCTTTCAAGTGGAAAATATATCAGCCAGAAATTGTCAGTTTCCTTCTTGCTATAGAGATAGTTTTATTATTTAAAGTATTATAATCCACTGACCAATCAACTTCAGCAATTTACATTTACTAGCACAGAAGAGGAACACAGTACTTTGAAAGACCTGCAGGCATGACTAACTTGAGAGCTAACTTGGTTTCTGGCACTGTAGAGGATCAGGTGAGTTACTGAAACATGCAGAAGCTTTCTTAGTGAAATTATTTGATGGGCTGCGATTCTGCCACAGGCCATACAACCATCATGAAAGCAATCATCATTTGTACAATGTAACAATTCTCTTTTTACCTTATTCTGAAAAGTAATCCAATCCCCAGAGCACTGTATTTTAGCTGCAGAATCTGGACTATATTTTTCTAATGAAGAGACATTATATTTTTCACAGATGAAGGGCAACTTGGTACCACAGTCTGTTGGTTTATTTAAGTCTGAGAAATGAAAAGCAAGATTACAGGGGTGAGAATTTTCTGTTCAGCACATTTTAAAAACAATCCAGTAGTAAAGAAAATATCTTTCGATTGATCTTTCCCCAACATTTAAAATATATTCCTTTTTTACTCTAGCCATTTCTATCTTCTGTAATTACTCATATCAGTAGGCTATAGCATACCAACATTGCCTATAAAAATGCACACATTTGGTGGAAGGACCACAGTTACCACCACAGTTCCTGATGGTGGGAAATAGGTTGAAAGCAAAGCCTAATGAAGGGAAAAGAGACCTAGACTATATTTAGAATTGCTACCTGTTTATCTTTGCAAATTTATCTATATGCTTATCAGTGATGAAAGCGGTAAGTTTATTTCTAAGTAACCGCTTTAGGATAAAGGAAGTAAAAATATTCACAGTGAAAAGCACCTCTATTTGCATTTGGAATTTGAGCCATGGTCATTAGCAATAAGCCAAAAGAAGATGAAGCGTATAATCAAAAGGAAAGCAAGGTTAAGCTAGTAATTGAACCTGAAGTTCACACATTACATAATCAACATTAAAGGATTTGGAATTAATTTACCGCTAAACCAAGTCTTGGCAGACATGCACAGGCATTCCTCCCGAAATGTTATAGGAAAGTGAGGCCATGGATATCGTGAGCTGAAAGAAAATGAGAGATTTCACAGCTCCTATCGTAGTTACATGTTCTATTCTGTCTTCTACTGTAATTTTAATTCTAAATTTAATGTTACGCCATTACTTTATACCACCTTTTTCTTGATGCTAATATGCAAAAGGACTTGGTTTCTGTAGTCCATGCAGTTTATGGATTAATGTTCAAAACAGATTATAAATAGCATTTTCTAAAGGGGAATTTGGAACTGCTTCTTTCCAATGCCTTTATAAAGGCAACATCAATGGTGTCACATACTATATAGAACGATGACGATCTGCTGGCTGCTCAGCGGTTCTCACCCACCACTTCTGTTCATCACCAGATATCTGAAAAACAAACCAACCAACCAACAAAATCACCCATGCTTATATGTGCTCAGTTTTCTGAAAGAGTTTTCATTTAAATAGCCAGTCCCACTGTAACCACAACCACTAAAATTTCCAGACATTCCATTACTTCTGTCTCTAACTTATCAGGTCCTTTCATCAAAGAAGTAGCTGAAAACTCTTCGTATAACACTATGCGCTATTTTGCATACAGAAAATAAGGTCACTGTAATTACAGGCATATGTTAATTGGATATATAGTGTTCTATTGCAAATAATTATAAATTTAAAAACATAAAATTATTTTTTCTACAAAAAGCTATTTTACAAAGTTAGTTATTAGAAGAAACAAAAATCTAGTACAAAATCTAACAAAGATTAGAATATTTTATATTATCTATTTGTGCTCATTTTATAAACTGACATTTATAATTAATCTTGAATATTTTAAAACATTATGTAGTTCTATTTAACTTTTCTAACATGAAATGATGAATTTGGATGTTGTTAGGCAAATTTTACTTGAAAGGAACATTTAACTTCTGTAGATTTTGGTAAGATTTCTGAAATAATTTTTAATGGAATAAATATCAAAATAAGAGATTTTAAATACATTCTCTCAAATTACATTTGCTATTTTGTTTTTGATGGCTTTTAGTCCTGCAAGAGATGTCAGTGTAGCCAGAGAGCTGTGATTGCTAGCACAATACAGGACAGCTTCTTCATAGTTTAAGTGAGGATCGGCAACAAACCAATATTCACTCCCTTCAATTACAACCGGAGGTCCATGAATTCCAGCACGCTCTAAAGAAGAAGAATATTGGAGTTATGCACAGATCAAACTGCACCTTCTAAGCATGAATTAATGTTCAAAACTATTTATAAATCCATTTAGATTATTGGCTCTCTCTGGCCAGGGCAGTCCTTCTTGTCAAGCACCAGGGATTGCTGAGCCAGAGACTTTGCCACCCTCCTGTACTCACAGAGGGGAACAAATACAGCCTCAAAGCCTCATTCCACACCAGCCCAACACCTTTCCTGCCTGGAGGTATTTCATCTCCCTTGAAGATGTGATAGAGAAGCTGGCAGTTAGGTCTGGGCTTAAATAATTAACTGAGTACATTACTGAAAAGGTAGAAGCAGTTTGGCTAAGTTTCAGTTTTCTTAACTTACCTGGATTGTACCAGTCTGGTGTTTTTGGAGTATGGCCTGTATAAGAAAACAAAAGACTCAAGATTAGTATCCAATTACAGATAATGTCATACTGTAAGTAAGTGCTTTTAATCTAATTCAAGAGCACTTGCAGGATTGCTGAGTTCGACCATTTCTGGCCAAACCATTTCCTTTCATATTATGATTGCTTCAGTTTGAATTTTGTGGGGCCTAAGCTAAAGCTGCTTTAGTGGCAATCAAAAGGGCAGATCTGTTAACTATTAAAGTATTACTAGCAGTTCTCTATCTTATATCACGGAAGCCACAAAGGAAGACTAGATGGATAAAATATGGCTAATAATTAGAAAGTATAAATAAGTAAATGAGTATATTATATACATTACATAGAAGCACTAAGGAACAGGCACCAAGATAATCATCACTGCAGGATGAGGTTATTCAGGAACTACTTCTCCATCTAATGCAATTTGAATGATTGTTCTATAAAACTGGGTCAGTAGAGTTCATTGTCCCCCAAGGCATCCTTGTAAACAATGTACAGTAATCGAGTATTGAAACTTTTGAGGAGGTGAGAGACAAAACTGGGAGAAAAATAATAAAAATCACCTAGAATTCCTTGTCAGAAACAGAGAAAATATGGTACTTTACAAAGAATTATGGGCCTTGAAGTTGGGTGGGTCAGGGTCCTAATGCCCTCAAACCTTCACTGCTGTGGGACTTTGGATCAGCTGCTTAGCTCCCTGAGACTCAGCTCTCTACTCTATAAAAATACAAGACTCTACTACCTAACTCAACGACTGTGAAAATCACTTTAAGGCTGCCTCAGCAGAAGCACCCAGACAATTCCAGGGCTGAGCGGCTCCCCTCTCCTACAAGGATGTTAGTTGCTTTCCTCTCCCTTTTCATTCTGGTTGTAGGTCATACTGGTTTCAAGGCAAAAACATAGTTTGATGACTATTAGAAATTACAGGGTAAAACAGCTGTTCTTAATTTTGCTGTTGTCTGGGCCTATTGCAGAGAAGACCCTACTCAGAGGACTGCCTATATATCCAACATCTTTGGTTTCTCTCTATGAGTCAGTTCTTTGTATATTGGATAATTTCTATCAACAATGGGTTAAATCTGTTAAAAATATGCATAGTTTCTTGTTTGTAATCTTGTCAAAAACTTCTGTTCAGACACATGAAAAAATGCTCAGCATCACTCGGCATCAGGGAAATACAAATTAAAACCACAACGAGATACCACCTCACACCAGTCAGAATGGCTAAAATTAACAAGTCAGGAAACAAAAGATCTTGGCAAGGATGCAGAGAAAGGGGAACCATCCTACACTGTTGGTGGGAATGCAAACTGGTGCAGCCACTCTGGAAAATAGTATCTGTGATCCAGCAATTGCACTACTAGGTATTTATCCAAAGGATACAAAAATAGTGATTTAAAGGAGCACCTGCACCCCACTGTTTATAACAGCAATGTCCACAGTAGCCAAAATATGGAAAGAGCCCAGATGTCCATTGACAGATGAATGAATAAAGAAGATGTGGTATGTATATATATGGCATTGGTATTGCATATATGGTATTATATATATATACAATATATATATATAATGGAATATTAGTCATCAAAAAGAATGAAATCTCGTCATCTGCAACGACGTAGAGCTAGAGTGTATTATGCTAAGTCAAAGAAGTCAGTCAGAGAAAGACAAATACCATATGATTTCACTCATATGTGGAATTTAAGAAACAAAACAGGTGAACATAGGGGAAGGGAAGGAAAAATAAGATAAAAAACAGAGTGGGAGGCAAACCATAAGAGATTCTTAACTATAGGGAACAAATTGAGGGTTGCTGGAGGGGAGGTGGGTGGGAAAATGGGGTAACTGGGTGATGGGCATTAAGGAGGGCACTTGAGGTAATAAGTACTACGTGTTATATGCAAATGATGAATCACTAAATTCTACCCCTGAAACTAATAATGCAATATATGTTAACTAAATTGAATTTAAATAAAAAATTAAAAACATCTGTTCATTTGTTTTTTGGAGGAACCTATGGCTAATTCTGAAATTTCTTTAAATTAGTGAGAAAAGCAGAGTTCAAGGTCGGTTTTTTTTTTCACAAGCTTATGTATGTGTGTACAAGGTATCAAGAAATATAAAAACAGTTGTGTTTGGATAGTGGCATTATAGGTGATTTTCCTAAAATATTTTTATAAGCCTTATTTTTGATACTGTTTTTCAATGAAAAATATAATTTTAAAATTATATATATCTATAGTGGTTATGGCTATTCAAAAATTTTAGCTTGTCAGAACATCCCTTTTAGAGAAGAGAACCAACTGGGTCAGGTAATAAAAAAGGCAAATATTCTGGTTTCTCTCCAGATCATATGAATCTTTTGTCTTTTTTAAAAAGGCAAGAGCTAGAGAAAAAGTATAGTGATTTAGGCTACTGAAGAAGTAAACTGCTTTCAGAAAACCAGAAAAATACAGATTAATACAGAAATATCCAGTTGAGCAGACTCTGCAGGCTCTACTAACTGAGAGAATATCCAGCTACGTGAATGTGACACAGTGTAACTTAGAATTTAGGGACTGTCAAAGGGCAGTTTACATAACATTTAAACTCTGGATCAAACAATCACTGATGGCTTCAAACAACTGTGAATAGGCTGAGACAGGAAGTTCTTTAGTTTTACAATTTTGTTTCTGCACGGGGACAGCAGGGGTGCAATTATTTAGAAGATCTATTTAGTTAGTTAATAGGTTTACGTTTGCTAAGTTAGTTAATTCCCTTCTTTTTCATTTAAAATAAAAAAATACATAAAAAGAAAAAAAGACAACCACATGCTCTTCGGAATATTTCCTGTGGTTATTGGTTTGTAATTTCTGTGGTTATGCTGGTGTGAACTCTTGGGTCTGCCCCACCACTCAAACAGAAGCTACGGGGGTGGGGTGGCAGCTACTGTGTGAGGGCACACTTTGGAGGGAGCAATGACACTCTCTGTGCCATGTTAGCAAACACCAAAGACTAATGGGAACATCACCATTACTGCTTCAATCCAGAGACATTATCCAAATTAGCTATTATGTTAGTTACTTCCCTGCTTGTTTAAAGGGTACCCAAACTGGTTTCCTTTTGTTCCTCTTTTAGGTTTCATCAAATAATCAGAAATAACTGAGGTATAATTTCTCCCTTAGAAAAACCTCACACACGCACACTCTCCTCTTTTATTAATGGCCTGCCAGTTGCCTTTGTGAAAGAGACTTACCAGTTACTGTGTTGGATATTATGTCTTTTAAAGGCAATATGGTGGTGACCTTTTTAAGGAAAAAGAACAATCTTCTAATAGGTAGTTGCATGAAGGAACCCTCTGGGTTCTTTGAGAGCTTAGAGGAGGATATACATTTAGTTTCAATGATCTACATTTGGTTCAGAAATTTAGTTTAGAGCTTTCTGTGCATTTACCACTAATTAATTTAATATATCCAATAAAATTATTTAAAATTATTTTTAGGGCGCCTGGGTGGCTCAGTTGGTTAAGCCACTGCCTTCGGCTCAGGTCATGATCCCGGAGTCCCGGGATCGAGTCCCGCATCGGGCTCCCCCTTCTCTGTGGGGAGCCTGCTTCTCCCTCTGCCTCTGCCTGCCACTCCCCCTGCTTGTGCTCACTCTGTCTCTCTCTCTCTATGTCAAATAAATAAATAAAATATTAAAAAAATAAAATTATTTTTAAGTTATTAAGAAATAATTAGGCTGTTAAAAATCTTAACATTTTCCTTAATATTTCTTTAACATTTTCCTAGTAACAAGCTAAGTAAAATGGTATATCTTTATTCTCCTTTCTCTCCTTTTTATCACCAAAGCCTCTACTATCAAACTAACTGGTTTCCTGAATTTGAATTTGAATTCCATAAACTACTACCAGTTTTGGAGTTCAGTGCAAATTGCTTCTACATGTTACAGAGACCTGCCAAATTTTGATTTCTTGACTTTTGCCTCATTTTCCCCAAGCTTATCTTCATTTTGTCCTTCATCTTCATTTTGCATCAAAATAAAAATTGAAATGATTCCCTCCATTTTGTGTCTTCTTTTAGTTGAAATAATCTTTCATCCCAAAATCTAATCTCTCTAAATTCATCTTAAATTTTATCTTCTATACAAATTCTTTCATGATCAAAGAGGAAAGTACCATCTAACCAGCCTTGTACTTAGGGTAGGAGTCAGGCAGGATGGAGTTTAATATATTAACTACATCTTCATAGGCTTTTTAAAGTTATAATTATTGACTAAAATGCTCTCTTAGGTACTTTAGGCTTGGCGTTTACAATGTTCACACGAGAAGATTGTGAAAAAGAATAACTACCACTTACCTTTTGGAATCTGGCATACCCATTCAAGTTTTGTATCACAAGCAAAAGGTCTTAAGTAAATAAATTCTCTGTCATCATAGAAATACCAGCTTCTTCGCCCTGGCCTCTGAATGACCTAAAGGAGGAAGAGGATTGAAGAATATTTTGAAGTTGATGCAGCTTTATAAAACACTAAAGTGTAAGCCCTATAGTCTTTAATCTATTTTAGCCCTAGCACCCAAGATATTTGTTTATGAATGAATACAGTGTTTAAATAGTTAACAGCCTAATCAAGAATCTTCAAAGGGGCTGACACAGGAAATATATCATAAGGTCATGTTTATATCCAAAATGTAAATTATTGGTTTTTTTTCTGTTTTTGCTGATATGAAATTATAGATTGCATCTTTAAATTTGAGAAAGGTCAACCTAAAACAAATGTTTACTTCAGTGGCTTCCCAACACCAGATTATGATTAAAGCAGATCTGTGAAAATGGGACATAAGAGTCTGACATCAAGGGCCAGGTTCCTGCTCTGGTGTTGCTCTGCACCGCTAGGATGTTAACCTCCTCTGCATGATCCGAGATAGCTCTCTACAAACCCCAGCCAGTGAGCAGGCAAGAGAGGAAACGGGAGGGCATGACCGAGGAGGAATCTCCATCACTTTTTGGTCTGTTTTCTCTCTCTCTCTCTTTTTTTTTTATTATGTTATGTTTAATCACCATACATTACATCATTAGTTTTTGATGTAGTGTTCCATGATTCACTGTTTGTGTATAACACCCAGTGCTCCATGCAGAACGTGCCCTCTTTAATACCCATCACCAGGCTAACCCATCCCCCCACCCCCTCCCTTCTAGAACCCTCCGTTTGTTTCTCAGAGTCCATAATCTCTCGTGGTTCATCTCCCCCTCCGATTCCCCCCCCTTCATTTTTCCCTTCCTTCTATCTTCTTCTTCTCCTTCTTCTTTTTTTTTTTTAACATATAATGTATTATTTGTTTCAGAGGTACAGGTCTGTGATTCAACAGTCTTATACAATTCACAGCGCTCACCATAGCACATACCCTCCCCAGTGTCTATCACCCAGCCACCCCATCCCTCCCAGCCCCACCACTCCAGCAACCTTCATTTTGTTTCCTGAGATTAAGAATTCCTCATATCAGTGAGGTCATATGATACATGTCTTTCTCTGATGGACTTATTTCACTCAGCAACTGACAGAATGGGAGAAGATATTTGCAAATAACATATCAGATAAAGGGCTGGTCTGTTTTCTCTTAAGGCCAAGATTCTGGTGGGTACTAAGGGGAGAGTCTCCTTCTAGAACACTGCCCTAGCTGGCCTTGTTCCTGACATAGGCTGCATCAGTGTCTCTTTTATTTAGCTTTTTTTTTTTTGGTAGATTTTCTAATCTCTTTATACATAAGAACCCTACTTACATAGAACACAGTTTTTGCATCAGTGTTCTGGAAATTTTACAAACTTCTCTGAAGTTTTCGCCTTCTCATGTGTTAAGCTGAGAATTCTATAAAGATGGCATGATACTATGCAGTTTATTACTGGAACAATTGCTTTGAAAATAGTGCTTTCCAATGGGCTCCTCAGTTGTTTGTCTCAAGCTTCCTGCAGCATTTCTGAACAATCACTCTCTTGAATCTCTTTCTTGGGCTTGCATAGCAAAGATATAATCTATATGTCTCCTACTTCCTCATCTTACATTTTATGCATTGACAGTTCTCCTAAATCCACTTTTGGTGCTTTGCACTTTTTTTTTAATATACATTTTTCCTTCAACTCTGGTCTTTGGATTTCAACTTACTATAGGATATTTCTTACTACTAGCTTGAATTCAAAATATCTAAATAAAATGTAGTATTTTCTCCATAAACCAGTATCCTTTCTATTTCTAGAAACACCTAGTCATACAGCAGGGTAGATCCAGACATGTGGGTTAAATTTCAGTTCTGTAATCATGTATACTTAGAACTCAAATTTCTTCCTCAAAAGATGAATTTGTAATAGTACCTATCTCACAAAGTCATGTAAGTACTAAGTGAAATAATAAGTACCTAGCTCATGAGTTAACAAGTGTTAGCTGATGCCACCATCATCATCATTACCTCCCATAACACTCTTGTTCTTGCATAAAACTTATACCTCATCTGTCATAGCTCCTGTAATTGCTTGTTTACCTATCTCCTACTAGACGTAAGTTCTGTGAAGACAACTGTTTTACACCTTGTTTTTGGTGTATCCCCCAGAGCATCACAGACTGCTTGGACTACTTTATGGAATCAGTAAATGAATGAATTTTGCAAAGGAACATGCCTAACTGTTCTTTTATGTCTTCTGGTCTTATTTGCTGCATCTTGAAATCTGACTTAAGATGAATCTTCTTCCTATCCTCCTTGGTTCATGTCAAAAACCTTTTTTTTTTAAGATTTTATTTATTTATTTGTCAGAGAGAGACAGCATAAGCAGGGAGAGTGGCAGGCAGGGGGAGAAGCAGGCTCCCCGCTGAGCAAGGAGCCCGATGTGGGACTCAATCCCAGGACCCTGGGATCATGACCTGAACTAAAGGCAGATGCTTAACCGACTGAGCCACCCAGGTGTCCCTCAAAAAACTTTTATAATGCTGTTGCCTAACATCAATCTAATTTCCCAACTTTGTTTTCAACTCTGGCACCAATGAAAACTTCTTGATCTGTATTCTGTTCTCCTCACTGCCTTAGCCTCTCCCTTATACTCTCCCTTATTTTATGCCACCTCCTCATGCCATCCCCCATTAGAAAGGCTTACCCTTACCTGTACAAAAGCACAGTTCAAGTCCCACCTCTTTCTGGAAATAGGCCAGAAGAATCACTTCTTCTTCTGAGTTTCAACAGCCCTCCTCAGCCCACTAATTTGGAGCCTATTACTGTACAGTAATAAGAGCCACCTTTCTTGAATATGAATTTTATCTTCTCAATTTAAGTCTAAATTAGGTGGCTTGAGGACGAGGCCATGGGTGTTCTTACCTCCCATTGCATCTAATATCATGCTCCACACACAAAAGGTACTCTGTAGATCTGTTGCCTCACTGCACACAATGCCAAATTTATTTTTTAAATATGCAGATTTCCAGCATTGTACTGACCTTGACAGCAGCACAGTCTCTGATATCATAATCCTGCTGAAACTCATTTTCCATGAGAATAGTAGACACCTTAAAAAACAAGAGAGGCTTGAGAACTTAAGACCGATGTATAAATATCTGGAATTTAGATGTAATTTAGGCATCTTTAATAACTCAAACACATTCACATGCCAAAGAAGGAAAACTTCTTCATCTTTTTTTTAATATCAGGATGTTAAATCATGAGATGACTTAGAAAATATCATACTGTCATCAGTTTCCAAACAAAGGAAGCTATAGTTTGAGAAGTGGAGGTTAATACTGTATTAAGTTTGTAGCTGGAATCACAGAGAATAAGGAGCTTGCAAAAGACCTTTTTTGGGGCATGTGTTGAAATGCTAGTTATTCAATTAACTAATTTCAGATATACTCCCACTTGAAAATGAAAGTCAAGAAATTTTACATTTGGAAAGAATATATGATGAATTGACACAATGGTAATGTGGAGTAAATATTTAATAAATTTGAGAATAATTTGCTTCTATAAGTGTTACCTAAAACCTCTCTTTAGGATAATGTAAACATTTGAAATAGTATTTAAGGTCTTTTTAAGGTTTCCCCAAACAAATTATTTCCCCCAATAAGAATACATTCTTTTTTTATATAACTCAAATTTTTAGATAATAAAAGTAAAAGCTTCTCATTGTGAGAAAAGGAAATAAAAAACAGCACAAAGAAAAAGAAAAAAAACTTTACTATCCAAAGATGACCACTATATCTATATATCCATATTTTCATGTTTTTAGGACTATAGAGAAACTATCTGTATGGTTATTTTTTAATCTTTAAAAAATATTTATTTATTTATGATTATTTTTTACTTTTTTATTTTTATTTTTTAAAAGATTATTTATTTATTTATTTATTTGACAGAGAGAGACACACAGAGAGAGGGAACACAAGCAGGGGGAGTGGGAGAGGGAGAAGCAGGCTTTCCGCTGAGCAGGGAACCCGATGAGGGGCTCAATCCCAGGACTCTGGGATCATGACCCGAGCTGAAGGCAGACGCTTAACGACTGAGCCACCCAGGCGCTCCATGATTATTTTTTTAAATAAAAGTGAGGCTAGTATCTTTTTTTCCTCACTTTATATATGTGAATGCATTTCCATTTCAATAAAAATACTTCTTCATAATTTTAATGGTTACATAGGATGTGGATGTATTATTTAACCATCAACTTAACTTGATATGGAAACAAAAAATCCCTTTACATTATCCCAAACAAGAAAATTTAAACTTACTGGTGTATGATCACTCCACTCCCAGGATCCTAGTAAATCTGGGCTCCTTTTATTCAAACCTATCCACAGCCAACGCTGGTCACTATGTAAAAAGGAAGTATTAAAAAACAATTTGAGCACAGATTTGGCAAAAATGTATAGCATTCACATGTCTAAAATACTTAAGACATTTAAGTTTGTCTTGTCACTAATCGGAAAGCACAATTTCAAGCTCTATAAAAAAGAGGTCTTCTGAAAGAAAACTAAACTTTAAATATGAAGTAGCTATGGAAAAATTACCATACTTCTTAGAATTAAGTTTTCAGTTATGTTCTTCATATGAAAGGTAAAAACTATTCTGCTTTGAACTTGAGGGGAAAAAAGTGCATGATTATTCTAAATCTTTTACTGGAGAGCTTCAATATTAGACAATGTTTTTGATACAAAGATAGCAATGGCATTTTCTTGAAGTGTCTGTCTATAACACAATCAAATATCTTTTTTTTAATGCAGAACAAATCATTTGGCTAAATTTTTATTAAACAAGATCAAGATTTTAAAAAATTATTTAATTCCCACTGCCCATTAAGTTTAAAGTAAACAAATATAAGTATCTTTTTTTTAAAAGATTTTATTTTTAAGTAATCTCTACACCCAATGTGGGACTTAAACTCACAACCCTGAGATAAAGAGTCACATGCTCTACTGTCTGAGCCAGTCAATTGCCGCCCCCCCATTTTCTCAAAGAATAAGTATCTTCTAAAAGCCAAACTCCGTGGGTTACACCAGAACAACATAATTAAACAGTCATTTAGGTGATTATATTTAACACTCATAACAATTATACTTCTATGTACAAGGCATTGAGCTAGGTGCCATGGTAATACAGAGAAGTACAAGATGTAATATCTATCCTCAAACGGCATATAAACTACTCAGGGAGACAAGATATACATGAACAAGGAAATAACAACCATTTTGGAAAGATATCAAATGATATAAAATCTGCATAAATTTTAAGCTTTACAAAAATTTAGAGAAAGAAGGTCATTGTGGACTGCAGGAAGTATTTTGTGAGGTTAGTAGGACAAAAGACAGTCTTCAAAGGATGGCTAATATTTCTTTTGAGTCAAAATCTGAGTCTTTAACACTCAACATTCAGATTGACTGAGAAGAGAAAGGATAGACATTTCAAGGAAGGATATGTACAATAACATATAGAAGCAGGGACATATATTGTAAATACCCCTTTTCCTCATTTAAACTTATTCTCTAGCTAGGAAGATATTGCTAATATAAATAGAAGTGATATAGCCATAAAAACATTTTCTTCACTTCTAACCCCACTTGAAAATATTCTCTAAAATGGGTTACACTTTTTAGGCTTTTTTTTTTTTTAAGATTTTATTTGTTTATTTGACAGAGAGCACAAGTAGGCAGAGAGGCAGGCAGAGGGAGAGGGAGAAGCAGGCTCTCCGCCGAGCAGGGAACCCGCTGTGGGGCTTGATCCCAGGACCCTGGGACCATGACCTGAGCCGAAGGCAGTCACTCAACCAACTGAGCCACCCAGGCACCCCAACTTTTTAGGCTTTTTAAAAAATTTATTATTATGTTCAATTAGCCAGCATGTAGTATATCATTAGTTTTTGATATAGTGTTCATTACTTTTTAAATTTTTCATTACTTTACTCATTACTTTTTTTTTAAAGATTGTATTTTATTTATTTATTTGACAGAGAAAGAGACAGCAAGAGAGGGAACACAAGCAGGGGGAGTGGGAGAGACTGAGCAGGGAGCCTGATGTGGGGCTCGATCCTAGGACCCTGGGATCACGACCCGAGCCGAAGGCAGAGACGCTTAACGACTAAGCCACCCAGGTGCCCCCAACGATTACTTTTTAAGTAGACTTTTAAGTAGACAGTTTTTAAGTAGACTGTTATCCACGTAAATTTTTTTTTCGGTGATGCTGATTACTTTCCATACAATTTAACCTTCTGATTGCATGTAGTATGTATGGTCAGTACATATGACTGTATATTATATATGCATAACTAGATACATATATAAATGTTACATGCATATAAATATAGCACATATTAGAGAAGGCATGGGATCCAAATCTAAAATTAATCCTTACTCTCAAGCTCAATATATGGAATGTTTAGCTGAAAAATATGTTTGCCTTTCAAAAAATTTGCTAGTGAATCAATGCTAGAGCAAACTTAATTTTACTTCTTTAAAAATTTTTTTATTTATTTACTTGTGAGAGAGAGCACAAGCAAGGGGGGAGTGGGAAGGCAGAGGGAGAAGCAGACTCCCCGCTGAGCAGGGAGACCAATGCAGGACTCAATCCCAAGACCCTGGGATCATGACCTGAACTGAAGGCAGATGCGCAACCGACTGAGCCACCCAGGCATCCCGAGCAAACTTAATTTTAAAGTAATTTCTCATGTTTGAATAAAATAATTGCTTTTCTTTACCTCTTCCCTCTACTCAACATTCCCCCATACTTTAATATAAATAAGTACTTTTCATCTTTTCGGTCTTAAGCTTTTCAGCTTATTGCAATGGAATATGAGGACTATCCCCTTCCAGTCTTTATTACTATACTGTTTTCTTTCATAGAAAAAGATTACCAATTTATAGATTTCAGATAATCCAGTGGAGACAATTAAGTCCAGTTTGAATTTAACAGCTATAAGAGGAATTTGCAGTTTGTTTCTTCAACTATTCAGAGCTTTCTAACAGGCTTCCAAATTTATCATACTTCCCAACTGCTGAATTTCTAAACCGCAGGGTCTAGAAAATTGCCATATACAGTATAATTAAAGTCAGGTAGGAAAAATAAAGAGGAGGTCAAGTTTGCTTCCTTGTTCCTTGGAGATGTAACTATTTCTTTCAAATTTTTACACATAATATATTTGAGCCTGGGGAATTTGAGCACGTTTTGTGTTTCCCTAAAATAAGCCTTAGATAGCCTATCTTCTTTTTACAATCAACAGTACAGCCAGGAAGATGGTCAAAGGTCATCTGTCACCTGCATTTACTCTGTAGTCAGCTCCCACAGAGAGCCTCTTTAGAAATCTGTCTCTACCTTTCTACCCAGTCCTTTCTTCGCTCCACCTCTGCCCACTTAGAAACCTCTGCTCTCAAGCTCACTTCTGCCTCAGAAAATAGTTTCCCAGAAAACACAATTTGCTGCATTGTCCCAAATTTTTTAATCTTTACTACTTTCTGAGATTGAACTTCATTTCAACCCAGACACTTAGAGTTCTTAGCTTCTAATTCAAGAAATATAGAGAATAGTAGCTCTTGTGTTTTTTTTTTCTGTGTGTGGTAAGAGGTGGAAAATATTTCCTCAATTCTAACTTATTCCTGATTTGACCTGGTTTATCCATAGGCAGATAAAGAGAAGAAGAAATTGAAAAATCACATTAATCACTGCATACCTCTAATGTGGATTTAGAAAATTTGAGGGAGGGGAAAAAATGGATCATAACTGGAGAATTAAATCAAATGGCAAATTTCTCACTCTTTATAAATTTTTCTACAACAAGCACTAAATATATGGTTATAGGGTATTAGGTTAAGAAGACACTGCACAAAAGGTTAATATGTGTATCTGTGTTAAAATTCCTGCTCTCAGTCAAATTTCCCAGTGCATCTGGTTTCTAAGGAAAACAGTATCTCAGCTATAAACCCCAATAAATACTATTTGATGAGGGCGCTTAGTCTGCAAAGCCTTAGATTTATGTCTAAATCCATTCATGCCACATCACAGGAGGTAGTACACATAGCAATAGCATGGCAAATGAGGCTTTCTCCTTTAATCCTAAAACTATTTTTGTTCTACAGTGGCTTTCCCTGGTGGGCTGCCATTAAGAGATGCAAAGATCTTAGAGCCTTAATGACTTGGTACACCATGAATCCTTTTCATTGAAATACAAATGGAGATGTGGAATTTAGATTGAGAGAAGTATAGCAGTAATCTGACTTAATTCCTTGGCATGCAATACACAATTTGGGCAATGGACTTCTGAGAAAGGTCAATTCCTGCAATAAAAAGGTAAGGCCTTCAAGGAGTAAGCTTTAGAATCATTTCCTGATATAAATGGGTTTGTCTCCTTCCTTCCCTTCAAGCCATGGTTACAATGTTGGTTTTAGAATATGTTGTCTTTCTAAGTAAAGCGTGGGCAAATGGTCTCATTATTAATGGAGCACATAGTAAGCAGACAACACAGGCTGCTTAATATGGCACATATCAGCTGCTGGGTTAAGTGTACTAAAATATGGTGCTTATGAATGAAAGATTATGGTGATTTGTTTTTTCTTTGTGCTCTTCTGTTTTCTGAATTAAATATATATTACTTTTGTGATCAGAAAAAAATTAAACACTGCTGTACATTCTTTGGAAAATAAAACTATATGCATGGGAATGGAAGAAAATGGAAAGGATTTACATTAAATGCTAACTATGTTTATAACAGAGCTAGGACTTGAGGTGACTTTCATTTTTCTCATTATCACTTTTTTATTCCCCAAATCTTACATAATGAACTTGTATTAATTTTTTAATTGAAAGGAAACTCAGCAAGTGTGATCAGAAACAAAGAAGCAAATCAAGAAAAATTCCTTAATTACCTCTCACACTCCAGTGTTATTTTTATAGTGTAGTCTCTTCTGTATATAGAAGCTCTTAATTATCATTTATATCACATATGATATTCCATTTTCCATCAGTTGATTCCCACAAATATCTACAACCTCATTGCTTAGTACTTATCTATGGCTTCCTGTTCCAGTTAAAGGTTTCTAACCTCTTGCTTGGTATTAGTTGAAATCCACTTTGTTTATGTCAGTATTTTACTTAAAAATACTTTGGCCTAGACAGTATGATACTGTATGTGTCAAGCTTGAGATCTAGGGGCCAGTAAGTTGCCTTGCTCAAAACCCTCACTTCAGCAAGGATCGGCAGGGTATTAGATGTTCCAGAGGCAGCCACCACAAGGATGTCTGTTATCCAAAGCCACACCTGAGGTTTTGGTTATTAGCAGAGAGAATATCAGAAATAGGTGTATATCAGCAAAATTAGAAGCTTGTTAA